GTGTGTGTGTGTGGGGGGGGGGGGGGTGGAGAAAGAACAACAACGCCAATGAAAACAACAAGTGGGGGAATGCCTGCTTTCAGCTCCAGAAGGATGCATCCTTGCGCATCTTCGTCAACACACGCTCCCGCCAGCGGCTCACAAAGGAGGCGGGAAGGTACACTGTTTCCTCCGACTGAGCGTCACTTGGATCCGCAGACAACACCCGGCCATAAGACATGACAAAATTGTACATATCATCCACAATACGCTCTGCCATGACAAGCTTTGTCGCCGCTTGCTCTTGCTGCAGCGGCTGCTCCTGTGTTGCGCCGAGGTTTGCCACATCCTCCTGCTTTTCTTGACTAACTCCAAGCACCAACCGCACCGGAACATTGACGTTTAGTAAGACAGATGGTACACGCAAGATGGTGCTGGGTCGCGTGTTTGACAAGTGGCCCACATACACAAAGGCACCATCGTCCTCTCGGGCAAGGTAGATGCCAAGGCTCATGCCGGGAGGGAGTGGCGCTGGGGAGGTGAGAAAGACGACAATGGCCTCTGGTGCGTTGCCCACAGGCGTAATCCAACGCACTCCGTCCAGGCATTGAAACTCTGTCACAACTGAAAAGCCAGGGATAATCACCGCAAACGGTGGAAACACACCGAGTGCAGCAGCCATCTCCCTGTTGTCTGCTTTTCTACTGCCACCCTTTTCCTTCTCGCAGTGTCGGTTTGGTTGCTGGTTCCTTTGGCGTGCCTCTCTCTATTGGGGTGGGGGGGTGGGGGGTGGGGAAGCGCCAATGCGTGCGATGCTAGTGAATAGATGCAGTAATTATGTCTTAAGCGGAGTATCTCGGGGGCACTGTACGAGTCTGGCGGTGAAGAATCCACTCGTCACAGCTCGCACCCCTCACAAACTTTTCTCCCTTTTTTTTTACCAGTAGCCCGTTGGATGAGAGTCAAGGTGAAGATCGAGTCAGCGACAACGTCAAAGAAAGAGAGAGGGAGAGAGAGGGAGAGAGAGTTCTGGAACTTGAGCAGCAGGCACCGCTCAGTGCAGTAGCAACAACACATGAAAGGGTCGTTCAAAGAAAAACAACATCAGTGGAGGAGACACTCACCACCAGCAGTGCCATGTGCTCAACCAGCAAGGCTTCCACACGCACAGGTCAGGCTACGGTGCAGCAACAGCTCCTCTCTTCCACGCGCCTTTCCAGACAAACACCGCCCCGGTGCCTACGCGCTCCTCATGCCGTTGCTACTATCGTTGTTGCTGCTGTCGTCGTCGCCGCCAAAGCTGCTTTCGTTGCCGCGCCATCCCCACGCCAAGTCAACCGCTCCATCCTTCGTCAAATATGGCTTTGCATGCAGAAATGCGGGATCAAACTGCTGAATCTGCGCCACGTTGGAGACGAGAATATTCTGCAGCGCCATAATTTTCTCGTCCAATACCGTTCGACGCCGTTCATTTTCCTCGCGGCGCAGCTTCTCTGCCTCCACCGTCTCTAGAGATTCCTTCTCCTTCTTGTGTACCTCGTCGGCGCGAACCATATCCTGCACCTCCTGCACGCGGCTCTGATGAATGTAGTAGTAAAAGAGATTGTTCGTCTGGTTCTTCTCCGCATACACCCAGCGCTGCAGCTTTGCGATCTTCAGCACCAGGCGAAGATGCTTCGCGGAGTCCAGGGGAACATCGTCGTGCTCCTTGCATACCGACCACAGATCCACCAGCCGTATGGGTTGGTGGAAGAAGAGCAGCTTCAAGACATAATTGCGCGGTAACTCACCCAGGTCGCGGGGAATTGCCTTAATGTTGTTCTGCACCAGGGGCTTCTTAAACAGCTCGCGGATGTTGCTGTTGAAGGCACGGTAGTTGGCGCACCGCAGCATCGTCACCTCGCTGCGGTACGGCACGGTGAAGCGGTACTCCTTGCCTGGCCGCAGCCCTTGGGGCCCCTTCGGTCGGTTCATCACACGCAGCGACCGACGCAGCATGTCGTGTCACTCCCTTTCCCTACTGCAGGCACCCCCAAGCGAGAGGCGGAGAGACACGCCACACGAAAGAGGAGTGACACGCACACGCACACGCACACACACGGAGGGAGGCGCAGCAAACCAAAGCGCCCGCAGCGGGGGGGTCACAAAATGGGCGCAAACAAAAACAGCAGCGGCAAACAAACAAAAAAATAAAATAAAAAATAAGCGAACACAAAAAAGGCAGGGACAACGGCGCCGCCTTGGCGCATGTGGAGGGGCTTGCCCGCCCGCAGGCCCCGTGCAACGCACAGATGCAGGTAGCGATGCACGAGGAGAAGCAACCACAGAGGCCAACAAACCAACAAACAAAAACGGGAGGCATAATTGCCGTCAGCCGCCACGAGCAACAAGAACTACGACAATAGTTTGCTCAGAGGAAGCGCTGCAGAGCAAACAGATCCAAACACGCTTTCACCAACGAACAACGTTAAAAGTAAGGGAGCGGCAAACATCGCCCCACCCCCTCCCTCCCTCCCCAGCAGCCGTGGTCCGGCTGGAGAGCCCAACTCCCCGCAGGCGATGATGCACAAACACATCTCCACCTTACGGGCAACGCACAGGCGTGAACACGGCTTGCACCAACGCCCTAATTTCCAGTTGCTGCCACCCCATTTTCTTCTGTTCTCGCAGCACACCTGCTGTGCGCAACACTCTAGCTTGCGAGCAAAAGACAAAAACACAAAAAGCCAGGAGGCAAAAAAAGGAAAGAAAAGAAAAAACCACTCATGCAACCGCCCATCGAAAAACCCAAACTCACAGACACGGACAAAACGATGTAAACAAAGAGGAGTTCATGCATTCATCCGTACAACGACAAACAAATAAGAGTTAAAGAAACACTGACACGAGGTGAGTATCGCTCTACAGCTCGAAGTAAGACACTCTGCTGATTCCCAGCTGGCCTGCCCCCTCCCACCTTCTAATCAAACCGGGTAACCTCTTTCTCCTCTAGCCACGCGCATCTTGCTCCTCCTCCTCTGTCTTTCTCCTCCATGACTCTATCTATCGTCAAACAGTGCCGTCTCCAGATGCGGCAAAGCGCACATCGAAATCGCCATCTTTCCGCAACCTATTTAGCAGAGAATCATGCTCACTCTCTGGCAGATGTCCGCTCCTTTTCAACGCCAAGAGTGCCTTGGCACAGTTAAGACGCACGTTCGGCACAGGGTCCTGCGCGAGGGTACGCAGTGTGGGAAGGATGTGCTGTGAGACGGTGCCGCGATCCAGGCCCGGGACACCTGCTAGTGATTCGTAAAAGTGCGCGAGGGCGACACGGTGGAGGTAGTTCGTCATGGACGCCAGTGCGCCAAGCCGAGGGAGGAGCAAGGTCCGAGCCCAGGCCGTCCCATTCTCCGTCACCAGCGCACAGCAGGAACGCACCGCCGCATCACGAATCGTCGCAACCCGGTCCACAAGGTGCTGTACACAAATATCCACCACATCGTTGGCACCTTTGCCCAGCGAGGTAATAAGGAACGGGACCTGTGAGATCACGACCTCACGAATTCGCCACTTTGGGTCCTCCGCAAGTGCCACAACGACAGGCACAAGCTTGGGGGCCAGTTCCCTCGCCTCAGGTGTATTTCCCATGGAACTGAATCCAGATACCAGCGCCAACCGCACATCCGCCTCCGGGTCTTTTAACAGTTGGGTGCATGTTGACACAATTGTAGTGTCCCACAGCTCTTTTGCAACATTTTCCACCAACTGCAACAGTGCACTTGCCAAGCACATCCGCACATGAGCGTTTTCATCATTCACAAGTCGACATCCCGCTATCAAGATCTCCCGCTTTGCTGACGGGTTACGACAAACAGCAAAGACACTAGCCATACTAAAGACTGCAGAGGCCCGAATCTCCGCCTCGGAGTCCTGCACAAGAGAAGAAAACAATGGCACAATACTCTTGACATCCGCCACTGACATGGACCCGGCAAGCTTACCGAGCCGATCTGCCACCATGTACCGTACACGCCACGATGCATCAGCCACAAGTGTCTTTACCGCCGAAAGAATACCTGCGTGCGCATCGTACGGTAACGCCTTGAGCAGTGCTGCTGCGGCCTCCACCACCTGAAGGCGAACACCATCACTCGGGTCGCGTGCGAGAGCTAAGAAAGCGTTAATCAGCTCCGTACTTCGACTCCCAAGAACACGTACCATGTGTTTTCCTAGCGAAATACAGGCAGCACGACGCACCATAATTTCCTCGTCATCACAGAGGGCGACAAGCAGGGCCATCAATTGCCCTTTAATGGTAGAAGTAACATGGGGATACGCCGTGGCGATTAGGTAGGAGGCGCTTGAGCGACACTGCGGGGTCGCCTTGCCAAGCCGATGCACCAGTTCGACAAAGTCGCGTTGCGCTTGCAATCCCGCCTCGCCAGGCTCACAAAAAATATGCTCACCAATTGTCTGCAGCGACGTCACCGCCTCGTCCCGCACGGTGATTTCGTCTAAACTGCTCAGCACCTCAAGGGGCGACAAAATGCTCTGCACGTGGTCTACGCCTCCCACCTCCTGCAGCATCGTCCCCAGGGCATTGGCAAACACCCGCAACACCTCGTCGTTCTCGTCCAGGTAGTCGGTGAGATACGGCAGTAACTCGTCACGCGTGCGCCCCGGCCCCAGGGTGGAGGCAATAAGGTGAATCCCCCGCATGCTCGTCAACCGCTCCTCCGGATCCTCCGAGCGCAGGTTGTTGATCATTGACCTGACGGAATCAAAGTGCTCCGACATCTCTCCGTGTTGTAAATGCCGTTGATCTCCTGTTGTTTCCCCAAAGTGGTGTTTCTACTGATTGGTGTGCTCCAAGTGGTTCACTGCCCTCTTTATTACTATTTCTTCCCTCCGCTCCAGCTCTTCCCTTCTTCCTTGTCAAAATGCCCGCTGCAGGATAACTCCTTTATTCCGCACCCCCACGCTCTCGTTCTCTGCTTCCTCTCCTTTTGCTTATTCCCACTGGCACCAGCGCGGCTGCTCCTCCCCAGTTTTTATCGCCAACACCCACAAAAAAAAAAACAATAATAAAAACGTGCAGCACGGAATAAAACTCATTCACATGGCAAATAAAGAGGGGTACGACGAACTCTACCACGTCCTTGCATTCACAGAGACGTAAGCATGAAATAAGGGGGGAGGAGGGACAGGAAGATTATTTGCACGTCGTTCTTCTTCTTCGTGGCGTCGTGTCTGTCACTAAACTGTACAGCGAGGCATGCACGCCGTGTCTGTTTTTGCGCATGCGGGGGAAAAGAAAAAAATGTAGGAAAATTACTCCCTCCCCCCCCCCCTCCCTCACCGACAAAAAGAAGCCTTCATACCTCCTCCACTCTCTTCCGTTCCTTTTCTAATATCCCACACCTTCCTTGAACAAACGTTCACTTCACCCCCGTTGTTTTCCTTCCTCCGCAGACATTCTCATCCACGTTTCCCCCCTTCCCTTTAAATAAAAGCACGCACACACAGACAAAAGGAGTCAATATTCTTCCTTTTGTTCTCCGTTTCCGGCGTCATTACTCGCTGTGTTTGTTACAAGAGAAAACCGGAAGGCATTTACACACACACTCACAGACGGATGCGCGCAATGAGGAAGCCTGAGGACAACCGTCACCTCACTTTGCCTCTTGCCACCCCAGACCCTCACGCCTGCGCTGCTCACAATTCCTCCGTCTCGTCATTTTCGGCTGCAGTCTCTTGGTTGGCATTATTGCCATTGTTAGTGTTATTACGGTTGTGCGTTGTGCTCGTGTGGGTGGTGGAAATACCGCCACCGCCACCGCCATTTCCTTCTCCTACCGACGCATGAATTTTCGCCTCCACGTAACTTCGTGCGCGGGCCTTGACCTTTTCCACGTCCGCGGGTGTGCCGTAGGCCCGCTCAAATGACATGAAGCGTGTAAGGAACTGCTGCATCACCTTTGCAGAGAAGTTCGTGGACACCGCCCGCTCCAGCAACGTCCGAACAATGGACACGGCCGCGGAGGCGTCACGGCGCACAAGAAGCGCCATTTCTTGATCCAAGTACGCCGACCACACATCCGACTTCTTGGGCATTCGCACAACCAGACCCTCAAATAACGCGCGGCCATTCTCAACGCCGCCACTTTTGTACTCGTGTATGGCGAGGCGCACGACGGTCAGCGCGTAGGCGTCCCGACGCAGCGCACCTCCCATATCCTTCACCATGCGCTTCAACTGGTCGCGTTTTTTCTGGTCTATGAGCACCACACCGAGTCGTTCCCACGTATGTGGTTCATTACGAAACTTCGAGACCATGGTACGACACAAGGCCAGGAGTTGATTTGGCTTGCGGGTGGCGGCAAAAATGTCGGCAAGGCGCTCGTACACGACAATTTGATCAGAAGCATGCTGAATCGCTCGCTTAAACACAGCCGAAAGAGATTCCGCCGTACCATGCAGATTCTCAAGATTCATGTATGCCACCCAGACGTTCATACGCTCCTGTGTCTCGCGAACACCGATGGTACTCAGCGCCTTTTCCGCCACCAGCCGAGCCTCCTCCTGCTGCTGAAGTGCAAGATGATGCGCCATCCACTGAACCCACAAATAACTGTTGTTGGGTGCAGCCAGCAGCAAGCGCTGGAACTCCTCCGGTGAGGATGGCACAGCTGTTTCCATCGAACGCTCATAGGCGTCAATGACCTCCTCAAGTTTTCGCTTGCGCAGTTTGTGTTCCCCGCCCGCATTTTTGGCGGCGCCACCATCACCATCGTCGTCATCCTCGTCGCTCTCGGTTTCGGGGTGTCGCTGTTGGTGTTGTTTCTCTCCAGCTCCGTGTTGTCGTTTGCAGTCACGCCAGGGGAAAAATCCGAGGAGACCCCTCTCGCCTGCTGGCAACGGTGCGCTACGCCACTGCGGCAGCGTAAAAACGGTGCGACAGCTTGAAAGCACAAGAAAGGGAAGAACCTCCTGCAGCAACGATTCGTGCGGCACAAACTCAATCACGAGCTGCATAGATGTTCCCACAACGGGGGGCTCACCGGGGGCGGCGGTGCCCGGCCAATTGTAAACATAGTACCCAACCAGGCTGCTCTCGCCGCATGCAACCTCAACAACGGCGCAGTGGTCATCTGTGCATGAAAGCAGCACTGTAGCGGACACCACACCGCCCACCTGCAGGCCGGAGAGGAGCGTTTGCATGGCGACCACATCGCTAGGGGTACGCTCTACCACCTCCGACCGTGCCGTGACATTGGCGACGCCGGTCTGAACGTCGTAGTTGAGCAGCCGCACCTCCACAGTCCCGGCATCCCCCGGGACGTGCTCAAGCGCTGCCAAGGCGGTGAGCCCGCCGGCAATGGAAAGCACCGCCCCACGCTCCGGGGAAGCCTTCACGACCCGTGCCATTGTGGTGGTACCTAAACCAATCAACACATTTTTTCGAAACAAATTAGGTAGCAGCGTTGCCACGGGCGGCGGGTACGTCGCAACATCGCTCCAGAGCTCGCGCAGTTGTATGCTAAGAAGGCGATACTGCTGCGAATCACGCGTGCGTCGTGCCACGGCCTGCACCTGTTCGCGCGAGGCAAGGCGTTTGAGGAGTTTCTCCGCGAGAAGGTCACCACCTAATGTCTCAACGGTCAACCTTCCAAACCCGCCGTTGCCTGGAAGCTGCACCACAATGCCGTCGGGTGCGGCGTGATGCACGTGGTAGTAGCTAAACAGCATGGACCACGATCTAGCCCTGTAATGGGTTTGCAGCTGTGTCCCACTCCCACCTCCCTCCTGTCGATAGCTCCCTCCCTTCGGCTAACAAAACTTCCTTCAAACCAACGATGAGTAGAGTGGAAGAGAGATGAGTGCTTTAAAAAAAAAAAAAGTTTACTTTTGTTTCACGTCAACTCCGCACAGTGTCGTTTTTTTTTCTTCTTCTTTTCCCTCCATTTATGTACTCATTGAAAGACGTTACATCATTTATTATTATCATTTCGTATTCGTGATAGATGAGGCGACAGAGTCCCGTAACTTCATATTTGCACCCCCCCCCCCCAACCCAACCCGAGCGAATATACACGCGCATACACACATCTATAAAGATAAACGTGTATGAGTGGAAAGAGCCACGGCTAACTTCTGCTTCAGGCACTTCTCGGCGCACGTGTATATGTGTGAAAAATATAAAAACAAAGATAGAGACATAGTGAGGGGGATTGAGTGAGAGGAAGGGTGGGAAGGGGGTGGGCAAGCCGAGATAAAGCGCCGAAAACCCACAAACATATGCAGAGGTAAAAAAACAACAGCAAAAAACACGTGTGAGCACATCACTTCACCCGTGCCTGTATGTTCTCTGCCTGCCTGCCTGCCTGTCTGTGCGTGTTCGTCTGTGTCAGTTTTAGTTTTAGCACTCCTGCACTTTCTTCCCGCCCAGTACTTATTGCACCGGCGGCTTCCTCTTCTTCCTTTTCCCCCGCCCCGTCCCCGGCAGGTCCGGCGCGCAGCCGTCAAAGTGCGTGTGTGTATATGTCGGTCAAAACAAAGACAAAAGTGCGCGCGAGACGTCCGTGTTGGGGTGGAGCCGGCGCACACACCTGCGGGCCCAGGCATGCATGCATGCAGAGCGGCGTGTGAGCCCCACCACCTCTCACCCTCCCAAAAAAAAAAAAAAAAAAAGAAAAAAAGAAAGAAGAAAAAAGCAAAACAACAACTAAGAATGAGGAATGAGGCATGCATACTCTGTGGACGTGACAAGTGTCCCTCCCCCGTCGCTTCTCCCGCACTCACGCCTGCAGCCCCTCACATTGCGCGCATGGCCCCCTACTGGCAGCAGCGCGTGTGACAAATTGTCCCGCAAAATATGCTCAAAAACACAAAGCACAAAAATCACAAGGGGGTGGAGGGCAGCACCAGCAGCAGCGCGGCAACACGCGCGTATTGCATGCAGGCACGTCTGCGTTCATGTGTTGACAATACAACAGCAACGAAGAAAAAAAAACACACATACACAAAAACAACAACTGAAAGAAAGGCTAAACAAAAATGTCCCCAAGAAACAAACAAACAAGAACAAACCCATGCAGCCGTCGTTGTAGGCGTGGTGGCAGCTTTACAAAATCAAACCAAAAAGGCTGTGGGGCAATGGAGGGAACGCCACAACATATCCACGCAGACACAAAAAAGTAAATTCCTTCGTTGTCTTTTTTTTTGTTTTCATTTTTGTTGCTTGTTGGTACGCGGTAAAAGAAGGGGGCGGAGAGAGAGAGAGAAACGACTGGCAAATACGTGTGTGAGTGTGTGTGTGTGTGCTTGTACTTTCGTAGGAAAAAAACAAACAAAAAAAAGCAAGACAAAACAACCACGGCAAAAGATATACGAATCGTTGGACATTCTACGTGCGTCATTGTCAAGTCATTGCGCAGTGACCCGCAGACGTGCCGCAAACATGCCTTGCAGGCACTCTTGCCTTTTTTTTTATCGCTTCCTCCCTCTCATCACGCCGATGGTGTCGGCACCGCCTCCCACTTCCATCGCTCCCCCGCTCCTGCTCAACAATAATAACACCCATAATAATAATAGTAGTAATCATAAACGCCCTGACCAACACATGTTACACATCTCAGGTCAACTCTTTGTGTCCCCCACCACGAATCGGCCGTACAATGATGCCATGACCCATCGTAACAGGTGAATCCACCAGAGAACGATGCTCTCGTGCCGTCAGCGCGTCCTCTAGCGTTGGTGTGCCGCTCCGACGTTCAACGTTGTGCCTCCCGTTGTACTTTCCACTGTGCGTGTACGAGTTGTTCAACAGATACTCGTAGTGCTGGCGCCAGTAGAAAGCATCGTTACGTGCGTCCTGAAGCTGGACTTGATGAATCGCCCGCTCATTTTCCAAAGCCCTCTGCAGTTCCTCCTTTGCCGCACCTTCTTGCCGCAACCCATGCTTCAGGGTTTCAATACGCCCGTGGCGGAAGGCTAACTTCTTCTCGGCGAGCTGCAGCTCCAGCGTTAAGGCACCATTCTGATTTCGCAGCTTCTCAAGCTCCTCCATGACAACCCCCATGCGCTGAAGCAGCAGCATGTCCTGCCTTTCCTCGTCGCCGTTGTGGAAGCCGACCCAGTCATTATCCTCACCATCACCAACAGTGTTAGAAACGGCAGCTGTCACATTGCCACGATGCCCTAAACCCGCGCACTTGTAGCGTGACAGGATGGCAACAGGCAAGCCAGCGTCCATAAAAAGTGACTGCCTGACACTTGTGGGGTTTATGACCATCTCTGCACCCTCTGTGAGTGCCGGAGTCGTACATGGGGTTACGGGTTGTGATCCACTCCCGTTTGTGACCTGTAACGAGGCCAGGCTCACAGACGCCAGGCCAACGTTGCAACGCAACAGACGTGAGTGCTCCTCCACCTTCCCACAGATGCTGCGCAGCTGCTCCATGTACGATTCTAGCTTTATGGGCACAAGTTTGGCCTCCTCTCGGGCCTCAGTAAACAACATGCGGTAGTGTTCCGCGTAGCGGCGCTGCGCATACAACTCCCGTGCAAGCTGCGTAAACTCCTCCTCCCATGCAGCGCACTCTTGTTGCAGAATTTGCACCAGTGAAGCCTGTGCCGCCGACTGCGTGTGGAGAAGATCCGTCGTGTACTGCGCATCGCGTAACGCGTCACGTAGGCGCTCTAACTCCGCTTGCATATCGCATAGAGAAAGCTGCTCACGGACGGCGTGCTGCAGCAAGACATCCACGCTGCTAGTGTCCACAGAATCCCCGCTGCGTTGGGATGGACTGCCCGCCAGTGTCTCTGAACATCCTCGCGCTGTGGATACTTTTCGTTGTGAGCTGTCACAAACCCGTTCTCGGAGTAAACGCCTCAGTTTTTGTATCTCCAGCTTCGCAAGACCCAGCATGCCTTTAAGCTCCTCCATCGTAAACTGCCTATTGACGACCGCCCGGTTGCACACATTCTGTGCCCGTGTGCCAAAGCGCAGTGTCGAGAGCGTGTCATGCGCCGCAAGTTGTGAGGGGCTGCAGCATAAAATAAGCGCCGTGCGTGAGTTCCCGCCTAGTGAGTCCTTTAGAATGCGTGTGAGTTTGCTGTCACGGTACGGCACATGTGAATGCTTCTCCGCCAGGCAAATGATGACGTGCCCGAGAGTGGTGAGGGACTTATTAATCAGTTTTGCCTCCTCCAAGCGAAGACCGTCGGCTAGTGTGCGTGAGACCTTCTCACACCCTGCGAGGTCCACGAGAAAAAGTTTCCCGATGGTTGCCTCATGCTTGGCGGAGTTCACGCTCTTCACGGTGATGTTAAGAACGCAGTGGCTACGGCTACTGGCAACATTAACGGCCGTCGCCGTGGTGGCGCGCCGGCGCAGCCCACTACAAACGAGCTGCAGCACCTCCTCCGTATTTGTCACGTACGGCATTTCACAATTCTCCACATAAAACCCCGTCGGGTCCTCACGCACATGCAAACTACCTTCAGTAGTCTTGAGCAGATCTCGCACACGCTCCATGTAGATCTCCAGAAACTGCAGACGGATCTCAAACTCCACCGCCTCCTCCGCACTGTGAATGGCATGAAACAGTTGTCGCACCGCACGAGGCACGATGCCAGCACCGTTGTCATGCATATTAAAAACCATTGACCCAGATTCCTCACTTGTAGGGGAGTGTACACCAAACATGGTATGCGTTTTGCCGCTCCCCGTCTGCCCGTAAACTAGCAGTGTGCCGTTGTACCCATGTATGACATCGTCAACAATGGGGCGAGCGACATCCTCATACAACTGCCTCTGTGTCGTGTCTGGCTGATACACCCGAGAAAAGGTATACACGTCTAAAGACACCAAACCCCCACTTAGAGAACGGATGTCATCGATCGACGCGCCACGAGGAGTTGTAAACTGTTGCAAAGCCGTGGACGAAGTCCTTGCTGTTTTACAAATCACCTGCCTATCCCCCTCGAAGGCCACGCCGAGGGGTACATGCTGCTCTACATTATTCAGTGGACGAAACCGGCACGAAACACGCACCTTGTCCACCGACATCCGGCCTCCTTTCACTACTTTACACACTGCGATCACGCACACACACACAGTACCACTGCCTCACCCCCGACTTTAACTGCTCCCTTCTTAGCCTCTTCCCCTTGTCTGGGACCTCCCTCTTCTTGCTTAGAGGCACCCGTCCCTCTCAAACGCTTGCACGCAAGCCTCCCCCTATACACACATACACAGAGAAAGACAGACACAACATGGGCGATAGAGTGCACACGGCAAGGTGTAGAAGTAATATATATATATATATATATATATATATATTTATATATTTATATAGAACAAATAAATAAATAAATAAACACTAACGATAACAGCTCAATACATAACTACAAAGCAAAACAATAACTTCATGGCCTCGTATGCTGTCAGCGTCTCTGTCTCACAGATGCCTTTGGCTTGGTCCAAAGGCATCAAAAGGGAGGCCTGACAGTTGCTACTGCCGTGCCTGCGTGGAATGCGCATTACCCCACGCAGCATCGACACAGCTTAAAAATTTTTTCCATGCCGCTACTTCCAGTGATGCCCACAAAAGAGTGCGGCGTGCTGCGCAGTATGTTTTGCTTTGGCTGTGTGTGAGTCGAAACTGTGGAACCTCCTATGGGTGACCCGGCTGGTGGTGACGTTGTCAGCCGTCGCATTCAGCCGTTCGTGACGTTTGCGTACAGGACCCTTCAAGTTCCCTGGACGACGCTCGTCTGGGGCTGGAAGCCGCGCAGGTCCACCCGGAGGATGCACACCACAAGCCACTGTCAAGATCACCTCATCGTTAAACGACACCTCCTCCCCCTGCGAGCCAAAAACTGTAGAGATGGGACTGACATCCTCCGCACAGAAGTCATCCACAACACCAACAGCGGCCTCGTGGCTTTCGATTTGTTCTCGTATTGTATACGCCCGCCAGCTTGATGATTTCAGCCACCGGTTCCCGCCAGTGTGCTTAGTCGCACCGGCTCCGGATGCCCCACGTGTCTCATTCAGCTGTGATACATTCAACGCTGATCGCGACATTTCCGTGGGGGTGCCTACTTTTTCAGCCATATGTTTTGCATCTCCGGCCCGCTTCTCTTCGTCACCAACAAGACTGCCCCCATTCTCGGCCACCTGCGTCTCACCCGATACAAAAACAGGTGTGGTCATGGAGGTGCGGCGTCGTACGTGTTGTGCAAACGATCCGCCTTGAACGTGAAGCTTACGAGTGTTCAACGGCTTTGTTTCCGGCACCGTATTATTCTCAGTGTTTCCACCAGCAGTGTTCCGCGAGACCGTGGAGCGCATTTCATGCCGGAGCGCGACTTCAGGGTGCGGGAAGCCGCCAGGAGCGGTAGTCTGGGACAAAATACATTTCTCCAGTCGTTCAATCGTCATTCGCTGTGACGCTACTAGCAGATGCAGTCGCTGGCACTCCTTCACCGTGATGCGTTGCTCGGTGCGTAGCTCATGCACAAGACCAGCCAGTGACATTAGGTGGGAGTAAATGGTCTGGTTTGACAGCAGCTCTCGCTGCGTGTGCTGCCCCTTCAGACAGCCACCCATAAGTCGAAAAGGGCACACCACGACTGACTCATCCTCGTACCCACCGCTGTCGTCCATCTTGTCGCCGTGACCGTTGTCCTCGTCAACGGCGGCAAGTGCAGCAAATACACTCGACTCCTCTTCCGTAAACAGATCCCCCTTCCGTCCCCGTTGACAAATATGCTGCCGCTGCTGGAGTCGGCCGGGGCGTACTCCGCCCTGAGGAGGAAGAAACGCTGGGAACCGTGAAGGTGGTGACGACATCCTGGAGGGCAGCAACTTCCGCTTGAAGCCACTCTTCCTATGAGCCGCCTCGGTCGTACGCCGCGCAGGTATTGCCTCCTGTGCGAGACTGTTGTGTCCATCTCTACTTTCACCTTCGCCTACTTTATCCTCATCGGAGTCGGAGCCTCCAATCGAAACCACTGTTATCGCACACAGCGAGTCTAGTGGATTTACACGTCGAACGTCATCGTTTGAGGCAGTTCCTGCCTCGTGCCGTGTTTCTGTGCCTTGCTGGAGCGGTATCGACTGCGCTGTGTCCCTATCGCAGCTCTGACGCCACTGCCTTTGAGAAGGGATTTTGCGCTTGGTCACGTGTGTGTTCACATCGTGTTCTTCCAGCGGCCCAATGACGTCTTCGGCCTGTCGCCTGACCGTTCTTCGCCGCAAAAAGTGTTGTTTTGCTTGTCGCTCTCTAATGCCATTTTGCATGTTTGCAGCGCTTCCGGCCTCGGCACTGTGTCGTCGTCTCTTGGCTGTGTGGTCTTACCACCGTAGATGCGCCCCGCTTCGCTTCTCTGAGATCCCACGCGGTGTGGCTCGCGGTGGGGTGACGTGAGTGTCTCGTCCCCGCCGAACACTACCAGAAGAGAAACAACAACCACGCTTGAGGAGAGATACAGAGAGCCGGAGCGGGAGCGAGTGCGGGAATAGGTAGGTAGAATAGAAACAAGTGCAGTAGAATCCTTTCACGCCGCTCACTACCTCACCTGCAAGCACTGACAAGACTTCCCGCGGGGGCTCACGCACGCAGTAGGAGGCTCAGCCACACACACACACACACACACACAAGGAAAAAAGTGAGAGAATGAAAATAATGGAATACGAGTTTGGCATCTTGTTATTCCGATAACTCCGCATGCATCTGCTGCAGCAAATCCCACTCATGCGGTGTGTAACCGGCGACGCACAGCTTCCGCGCCACAAAGCGACGCTCTTCTGGAGAGAATAGCGTCGCCGGGTCTGCGCAGCCTTCCGCTTCAAGTAAGGCGGTACCCAATTCTAGCATCAGTTCCTCCTCTCTTTCATCCTCGCCATCCACGTCATCGCCGACGTGCACACCGCCTTCCGTGGGGATGCCGCAGACACCACAAACCTCGCTCCGCCCATGCATCATCCCACCAGCTGCGGCCATGTTTGCGGCGTGGGCAATGGCTACAGGCCCTGAGGACTTCCATGTTTGCTCTCCTGCGCCTGTCCGGTGCCCTGAACACTGCTGCGCTGAAAGGAACGACTCCCCACCCACCGAAGAAAGCACAATCTCATCCATAGTCAGACACACGAGAAAAATATTACGGTTATTGCATGTTTCTACAGAGCCACAGTTGCAGCCGCAACAACATCCAAGCCTGCTTTGTGGTTGCAACGAAGCAGCGGAGACGCCGGTAGGCATGCTTGTCGCTGCACGACTGGAAGGAGCCCAACATGGGTGCATGGGGTTCCCCATGACCCCACCTTTCACGATAGCACAAGACATTGCATCCGCCTTCAGATACGACTCAATACATGTCTTGCTGTTGCCGTTCACCAAGTAGCAGGTGCCCTCCGTGGAAAAAAATACGGAGCAAAATTCATCGTTTTCAACACAGTAGTAACAAAAACACTGCAGCATCCACTGTGGTTTCAGATTACCTGATGCTATGCACAGGATAGAGGCTTTGACCCATTTTATAGGGGCCTCATGAGTGGCAGTCTTATCGGGGGCTGTACTTGACACTGTTCGTACCGCCTCCGTCAGACTGCTGTTGTACGCAGGTGACATCTCAAGTATGAACCAACGCCCATCCTCGCCGACAACGGCGAACTGCAGCTTATCTCTACCCACTGCCACATCCACTGCGAAGGAAAGCTGCAAACCGTGTTCCAACACATCCAACGGCATTTCACTATCTTCTCTCCGATGTGATGCACCACCTGCAACGACGGAGGTGCCGAGGCTGCGTCGTACAATCTGCTTGCTTGGCGACAACCCCGCTTCATCTCGCGCCACCGCATTAACAATATCAGACACAGGAACCGTGCCCCCCTCTGGTGATGCCTTACGTTTCCAGCTCTGCACACGACCTTCATCCAGCGAGAACGTCTGTGGGCGAGGCTGTTGTTGCAGTTCTGACAAGCGGCTCATCCAACATTGCCATAGTGGTTGCAAGAGTGTCGTTTCGGCGTTGGCCGCGTAATCGGAAAATAGTACCTCCGTGCAATGAGCAGAGGAGCACGAAGCCATACAGGCATCACGTCCAGTGACCTTCCCTATGGAATCTGCAGCTGCCTCCTCCAACATCGCAACACACCGCGACCGGCCTGACACGCCCCACGCCCTTACACTGCTCGTAGATGCGTTGAGTAGAACAAGCTGTTCCTGACAACTTAACAGCAGCAATGTGGCGCCCTCCATCGGCTGCTGGGGGATCCCGCCACACACTTCACCATTTCCAGAAAAAAAATCGCGAAGGGGTGTCTGCGTTGTCGCCGCAGTATTTTTCGAGAATTGTAAAGGAGGGGGGTTGAGAACGTGTAAATAGCCTTCCGTGGCAAATGGAACCGTGAAACATCTCATGGAGGTCACAGGTGCCTGCAAAAAGAGTGAGCCAAGACACTCGCCATCCGGTGTGAGGGAGTACGCATAGATGCAGTTTTCAGAGCCTAAAAATACTGTAGTGGCGCCTTCTTCGGCCGTGATATCGCCGCAAGTGCAGTTTGGGGCAACGCAGAAAACATGCGAAGACATAAACGAGGTATTATTTACCTTGATTCCCTCGTCCTGACCAGTCACATAGTTAGTTAGGTGGCTGCTGGTGTCCACACTGAGTGTGGACACCACATCAAGCTGTCGCTTGCTTTGGCCTGAGGTGCTGGATGCCGGTGGTGCAGGCCTGCAGCCCCCCACGAGGAATCCCTCCGTGACTTCGCACTGCCCTTCCAGCGTCAGCACCACCAGTCGACGGTAGGCCACGCTGTACAGCACGATGGAGATGGTCGCGGTAAGTGTGCGGGAGTAGATTGGTATGCGATGATCCGCCTTCACCACGAGGATTTGCCCCCCGGTGGTGCCAAAGACGATCTCTGCCACTCCATCCCCATCCACGTCGCAGGCGACAAGAGCATTGGGCATAACAGACCCCTCCTGCGCGTGCCTTCGAAACTCCCACGAGTTCACTTGAGTCGCCGGTAAGCGCCGCACCTCAGTAAACCCGTTGGAACCGCAGTTGCTGCTGACATTCGTGTCGTCTATCAGAGAGTATAAACCCACGGACATGTTTGTTCCGGGCCTCTCCAACCCCTACGCGCTTTGGGCGGAAACGAGAGAGGAGGAGTGAAAAAAGGCGATGAAGACGCCGCACTGTTTTTTTTTTTTTGGTTTCGCAGCTCACAGCATTCGCCGCTATCATCAGCGTGGCAGAAGGCCGCATACACACATACACGCACATAGAGAGAGAGAGAGAGAGAGAGAGACGCAGAGTGGGAAGCAGGAACACGGCATCACCCGCACCGGCATCAACACGGGGATCGGACCACATACTGCTTGTGTGCGAGCGGACGGAGAATTGGAGAGTCGCTAACGCGCGCGGAATGTTTTTACGCGCGGGTCCCTCGCACCGACACTCTCAAAGCCATGGAAGCGCGGCACAACATCGCTCTCACGGAACACCTCCTCAAAGTCAAGACCCGTTTCATTCCCCACAAGCATTTCATGTAAACGGTTAAACTCCTGCTGCACGTGTCGCACGCGTGTCGCCTGCACGCGACGCCCACAGTTCACGTAATTCACAAAATCCTCTACTACATACGGTGATGTGCTGGGGCGCTGCGTCGTCTCATTTTGCATCGCCGCGGAGAAGTCATTTTCATCAAAGGCCCCATCCTCCTTGTGCTCGGCAAGGTATTTCTCCCACTCGAGACGCTTCTTCGCACCTAACCGCTCCAGGTACCGCTTGACCACCTTCTCATAGACGCTGCGGTGCCGGCGCGGGTGAATTAAACTCACCGTGCCGGAGCGAAAGTCATACTTCGAGTAGTACTCAGCAAATCGCTGCAGGCAGAAAAAGACCGCCTCACCCAGTTTCTCATCATCCCCGTGTAGCGAATCGTAGATGGACGGCAGCCTGAAACCCTCCAACTGAAGCCGAACGTCAGGCAGCGTCAACTCCCCAAAGTCGCCGGTTGGCTTTGAAAAGACAGGCAGCAGGCCAAGCTCCTGAAGCACCATGAGCGCCATGGTCGTCACGGTGAAGCTGTTGAAGGTGGATCGCTCTGGCGCAATCACCTCCCGTGCCTTACCCCATTCCTTCACGAGGTGAATGTAGGCGCAGTAGAAGTCTGGGAACACCTCACGTATCGCAGCAAGAATCTGAGAGTTCTCCACCCCGCCCACGTTCCCAATGCTGACGTCGCAGTGAAGCCCCGAGAGGCTGTCGACGAACTGCACCACGGGAATGCGCGCACGGATGTAGCGGACTTCCTCCATCCCCATTTCCGCCGCCTCTTTGGAGAAGCGCATCAAGCGCTTATTATCTTGATCATCAACGCGTTCCATTCCCTGCAACCAAGACGAGAAGTTGCGGTACGTTAGCGAGAGATCCACGTCGGATGTCGGCTTGCAGAAACCACTGACGTGCGAGCCAAAGATCTCCACGTGTGCCTTGTTGACGGAGCGCAAGCCGATGTCAAAAACCCGTTCCTGCAGGTCCTTCAAAATCGTTTCGTGATCCGCCGGCGGCTGGGAGGCGCGGTAGTGCGCCATCATGTCCTTGATGAACTTTCGCCGCGCCACATTCATCCTCTCCGCGGTCCACGCCGTACCGCCTGTAATGATGTTAACTTTGCAGAAGATTGAAAAAAAAAAAAAGAAAAAAGGAGAAATGTCAGACACGCCAAACGGCAGCAAATGCGAATCGCGCAAGTTTTCAACGCCAACGACCCAACACCCCCACCCCTGCTGTTTTCTCATACGCTTCCGCTTCCCTTTTCTTGCACCTCCTTTGTATTCCTGCGCAGCGCCGTGTTCGTTCGCACGTGCCCAGATGCGTATGTACGTACGCATACGTTTGCCCCGTGGTCTGCAAATAAATGGTATGAAGGGGGCATTCACACACGCGCACATAAACCCATACCATTTACTCGTACATCGGAAAGAATAAAAAATACATTAGGAGAGTCTTTTTATTCTGTTTTCGTTTTTCCTTTGGACTACCAATGATTCATGGGATTATCTCCTTCAATGTCCTTCGATGAATGTTTTTATCCCTAACCCTGCCCTTGACGTCGCCCTGCAAGGGCAAACAGCGCGAGGATCTCGTCCACATCCCTTTTTTTGAGTCCGAGGTTCATACTGTCATCCTCGCCACACACACACACACATCCCGAGGCACACATGGGGAGAGGGAGAGCGCGAAGAGAGAGAGAGAGAGAGAGTGGGATGAAGGGGAAGAGGTGCCTTTGAACTCACGCAACGCCACGGGCAGGACTTCGACCATTCACGGAGTTCACCGTCGTCGAGACATCATTGGCGGCGGCGGCGGCGGACCACATCTGCGTTCCGCCATCCACAATGCCCTCCGGTAGGGGAACGTTGACCGTCACACCGGCGCCATTCGGTCGCATCATTTGATGCCGCACGAAGCGCAGCAGCAGGAATTTAGCTATCAGAGGCAGAAGAAAGAAGTTACGAATTTGGTACCGAGTAAAGAGGGTTGACATTTTGAGCAAGAAGGTTGGCTCCGACTCTAGCCAGAGCGTGCACTGGAGATACGGTTTCCGCCGACTATCCATGGTTGCCCGTTCATACTGCAGCTTTGCACAAACGCGAAGATGGGCTTTGATGTACTTTATATCATTCACTCTAATAGACACTGGAAGAAGTCTGCCGCGCGCCAAACAAATATCCACCTGCAGCGAGACATCAGCACCACCAGCGTATTCTACTTCTGCCTCTAGCTCCACTACGGACTCTGAAAACCCCGCCATGCTTCCACTCAGTGTCTCTTCAAAGGACTCACCGCCCCACAGTTCCCCTTTATCGTCAGGACCGGGTACGTGCGACGCCAACATCGAGGGAAGACGCCTCGCTTTTTGGGTCACCGGATTATTAACGCCACCGGGGGCAACGCCTGCAGTGTTCGCGACACCGGTGCCGCCAGCAGTTCCCGAAATTGCAGCAACCAGAAAAGGGTTGCTTGCAGAAACAGAAGCGGCGCCCATGGGGGGGACAGCCGGAGTATTCGTGTTGGATTCCATGCCTGTAAGGTTTGTCACACGGATGGCACGCACGCTGGGCGGCCGATGACCTATGGAGTAGATCGTGCACGTTGCATTTGCTGCGATGCCGCGGTCTTCTAGAGCGGCTTCCAGTCGTTCTTCAAGAATACCCAACAGTCGCCGCGGCATCCCTTTCACACCGCCGCCGCCTTCGCTGTAGCAACTATTCTCTTGATCTCGAAGCCGACCCCCAGCCGCGTCAAATGCAGCAGCCGGCTGCCACCCCTGCTGCGCCTTCTCATCCGCCGCCTTTTCCTCCTCCCGTAGGGCCGCGTAAAACAGATCGAGCACAGCGTTGGCAAGGCGCTCCATCCAAACGCATGTCTCTCCATGATGACGGGAGACGCGCGTGCGGCGGGAGGGCAGGTGCCGGAAACGTGTCGTCTTCACACGCAGCAGCGCGAGAAAGAAGAGGACAAACCCGGTGATCCGCAGAAGGGCAAACAGAAACGACATGGGCTACACACACCACCCACTCCTCATCTCCCCCACTCACAAAAAAGCACGGCAGAGAGGAGCAAAAGAGAAAAAAGAAAAATATCAAAGCCGAGTAAAAAACAAACAAGCACAAATATAAACAGCAGCAGCAGCAGCAAGGCCACCACAGTGAGGGGTCTACAGCCTGCCCAAGAGTCAAGGCGATCCAAACCCACTCACCCACGCGTGCTACAAGTGACATGCTCCGATATCATAAAGGGCTAGCAGCGAATATACGCACGCAAAAAAAAAACAAAACAAAACAAAACAAAACAAAACAAAACAAAACGAAAAACCGGCATTGTGGTGGCCAGTGGCGTCCGAAATGCGGGGTATGCAGGCAAACCCCCGGCCCGTCGTTTCCAAACAAGAGAAATAATAATAGTAACACTAGTGCTAGTGATAAATACTTCACCATCAGTATTCCCTCCCAACCTCCCCCCTCGACTTGTTTAAGGAGCCCAGTCCATTTCTCATCCCGGGGGAAAGCTCTACTAAGTGCTCGCCCCCGTCGCTTAGCATCATCCTCATCGTCGTCGCCGTCAGCGCGGGTACCAGCAGCCTCCATTTCCACCGCCAAGAGATCCAAGCCCATTTTTAACACGCCCAGACCTCTCTGCGCCTTGTCCGTCCTCTGTGCAGACCAATGCTGAGGTCAACCTCGAAGTCGCAATGCTCAGCGGGCTTTGACTACCAACGTTGTGGCCATCGTGCCATACACCAAAAAATGGGATGCAACGCTTCTGGCAGAGTTTGCCTTGCCTTCCTTTCTTCCATCGCACCACGTGCCAAAGAAGCGTTGTCTATTGCGGAGCGTCTCTCGACCCTTCCCATGTTTCTCTCCGCAGCGCCACTGCCCGGCATAACCGTCCCCTTCAACTGTGTGCAGCAGCTCGTATCCATGCGGCTGGTCATCCTTGTAGCTTCCCTCAAAGTAGTGTCCCGCAGCATGAAGGTAGCCCCCCCGCACCGAGAGCGCTTTCCAAACTCCCGCTCACCGTGAAAAGTGTCACCATTGGTGTAAGTATTTTCACCGTAGCTGTGAGGCGCCCCATCTTGCCATGCACCACCGTACATATTTGCCGTTGCCGCACCGCAACTCCCCTTGACCATGACGAAGCTCTGTGTGGGGGTTGACCTCGTCCTTGTACACACCAAAGTCAAACACCAGTTCTGTGACACCGCCTAGAACCTCCGCCGTGGCCACAGACGTCGGTGAGGAGACGTTCACTGCAGACAATGGAGACGTGGCATCATTCCCATTTAGGTGATTTGTTGCAACACCCCTGTCTTCACGCTGTCACACATCCTTCTAAGCGAGGCAGAACCCACCCATACAAAAGACAAGGATAGTGTGTTTAGGGGGAGGGAAAAAAAGCAAGGCGGAAGACAAACGCGTACGGAGCACAATGCCCCTCCTCCTCCTCCTCTGCATGATGAAAACAAGACAAAAGCACGAAGAGAAACCACTTTTGTCGTTATTATCATTTCCATCGTGTGATCATACCATACAAACAGACAATCTACGTGCGTGTGCACACATCTCCTTGACACTTCGCACTTCCTTCTTTCCTTCACTGCCTCTCTCCCACAGTCTCTCTCCTTCTCATAAACTCGTCCACTCACCTAAACGAAAAAACAAGCCATGCCAGCTACCACCGCTACATGGCACCCGAAAGTGGGGGTGGGCTGCCACTATCACTAAAATGAGGGGCATCCCCACCCTCGTCCAAGTAATGTATAGCCGGGAGCAACGCGTCCGCATCCAAATTTCCTTCTCTCGTGAAAGGAAAAACGGTCGCAGTCTCTCTCCGCAGATTTGTTGAGTTGAAGCGTTGGAAACGGGCTGCTCCATTGGTTTGCTGAGTCAGCTGCAGTTCCAGACTGTTGAAGTACTTTGCGAATTGGAGACGCACCAGCCAAATCAACAAGCAAAGCGCCAGACACACCAAAATCATAGTCACTTCGGCGTAGTGACTCCACACGGCATCTAGAGAGAAAAGACCAACCCAGAATCGAGTCATCAGTGGCTGGGACTTGTCGGTGCTGTCAGGGCATATTTCTTGTACACCACTTGCGCCTGCAGTGGTGGCACCTTCAAACAACGCGCGTTGAAACGCCATCATGAGGTCACCCGCCCTGCCCCCATGCACGATTTCCAGAAAGAGAAGCTGCATGGGCTTGGCAAGCACGCTTAGCAACACGTTGGCGCCCATCGCCAACAGCGTCCCATTGACAGCGACTAAATCAAAGCAGAGTCCGGCGTCCTCAACAACACGGATTGCTTCCTCCATCTTATCAGCCAGCACCAGGGAGGTGACGTTGTCGATGGCGGCACGGATAGCCTCATCCATAGGAGCCCCAAACTCAATGAAATGGGTGTACAGGCCCGAGGAGAACCACACCGGGGATCTAACGTTGCTTGATGTCAACATAGTTCCTTTTGACGGCTCTGTGTGTCTCTCATCACCCTCGGTGGGAAAATAATCATCCGGCACAATTCTAACCATAAAATCCCTTGCCTAAACACCCAACGTTTTTGTTCGCCTCAGTGAAAACTCACGTTAGCTCCCTTCTACAGAATGTTCGTTCTTCTTTTTATGTCGGTTGCCAAACAGCTTTTCGGATCGTTGCTAACAACAACAAGAAAACCTTCACTCAACCGCCTTCGCCGGGCGGCTCAGTACGCGGGAGAAGATGAAGAAGGAGATAAATGTGTGTAAGCGTGTGTGATACCCCGCCACAGACCAGCTTCAGCAGCCAACAAGCCGCACAGCGCAACTGAATACAATGACAGTAAAGTACCCGCGTACCTTCCTCCTTCACGCGCACCCGCACACCCACGCAGTCCACAGTGCACCCAGCGTACGACTGCGGATGTGCTTCAAATATCGTTAATGCAACCTGCACCAGAGGACGCGAGAGCGCCACTTCCCTGCAGACAACCAAAAAAAAAAAAAAAAAAACAACAACAGAGGCCGAGAGCTGGAGGTGGACATCACCAACTGACGAATGGGGACGCACGACCTGAGTGCCTCTCGTCTCCTTCCTCATGCGTACCTCATTTCGCTTCTTCGGCCTGCAGGACCGTACGCAACTCACACACGTTACACATAAAAACATAATACCACAATAGAAAGGCAAATAACGATAATACTTCGCATATATATATATATATATATATATACGACTAAATTGCGATATGCAGCAACACGACGCCCACAATCTCCACGCATTATTTACACTGATAGAGTGAGAGAGGGAGAATGAGAACGACAAACAGGGGTTACTGGTGAGCCCTGTTAAGCCACCTTATTTACACTTCTCTGCATTTTGTGCCAAACCCTCTAAGCTAATGCGCATGCCACGTATAACCTCGGCCATGGACTCGTTTTCGCTCCGCAGTGTGTGGCAAAGTGAGATAACAGAGCTCATTTCCTGGTTTCTCAAACTGAGAGAGTGGCGAAGCAGTGTCACCTCCCTTCGCAGGGGAGCAATAATTTCTGTGTGGCAGAGCTCAACCTCCACACGCCGGTCTGCCAGAGCGTTTATCAGTTCCTCACGCTGCTCCGTGACTTCTTGGAGTCGTCGATGCAACGCCACCTCACGTGCATTCAATTGCTCTAGCTGCTGTTGCAGCAGCACCGCTTCCTTCTCCATGCGTTGCAGGCCAACATCCACCGCCTGAACCGGTTTTATGCTGGCCACGTAGGCATCAAGGTCTGTAAACATCTTGTCATCATCGCATGGAGGTTGTTGGCGTTGGCGCTCGTCATTGCCATTGTCACGGCAGAAATAACTCCCCTGCGCCTCCGGGCCACTCCTACTCGAAGCGCCCAACCCTTTTTTCGTGTAGGGTAAACTCGTCCCTATGCCGGACGGGGGATGCTGCTCCGTAGCAGCAATCAACGAGGTAGTTTCTGCAGCGGTGGTGGTGGCGGCAGCCTCACCTTCGCGACGCGACACACTGCATTGCAGAACTTTTCCTCGCTTGGGTCCTTCCCAAGGCGGCGATGGCCGCTGCCGTTGCCGCGCCGCTCTTCGACGGCGATCGTGCTGGGACTTCGAGCCCTCCTTTTCGTTGCTTCTCCTACGCGGCTCTAAGGAGGCCCTTCCTTGTCCCTTGTGTGTGGAAATAATAAATTTCTGTGGCGGCTGCGACAGGAGCTGAAGCTCATCGCCGTGCTTCGTGCTACAGGCAAGGATGACAGCATCGAAGGGCCATGTGTCTGCTTCAGCCTCGTCATCCTCTTCGCGGGGCACCCTAACGATCGTTAAATCAACAGAAGCGGTGTACGTCATTGTACTGCGCTGTGGCGACGGGGAGCATGACATGTTGTGCACCACTAGGGTATGCCTTGGAGCATCACGATTCACAAAGATGGTGCCCAGCCTCCACAGCGGCCCCTTCTTCTCCCTGGAGAAGGGCGCTGACAGCACATTCCCACCGGCAATTCCACCACCAGTGTTGTCGTTATTGATGTTTTTATTGCTGCCGCCTCTACCCTCTTGTAAACCGTCCCTGAAACTGATGGGCTCATACCCAAAAAACATTGGGGGTGGGGACTCCTCCAGTTGGGCAACAGCTGCAGCTTTGGCGCCGCCGCCACTAGCCATGTTTGCACCGGTAAACTCCTTCGTCAGGGGCAACTTCACATACACCTGCAAAACTCGATCACCTAAGCCATATCCACCGCGTCCAACATCCTCGCACCTCTCCAGCTCACGCCTCAAAGTTTCCGGGAGCACTGGGCATGCTAGTGTGCAAGAAAAACTTGTCTCTGCTTTCCTGCGCCGAACAGCTACAGTGCTGGCGATGGGGGCCGTGCTGCAAACAGCAACGGTGAGCGTCTCCGCCCATGCCTCCGACTCCACTGCCCTTCGATTCAAGAATGGGGGGAGAGGGGCGTTGGGGCAAACTAGATGCGAAAATGCCGTTAAATGTGTTCCTTCGAGACGCAGCGTGGATACGGGTTCATCGTCCTTCTGGGCAGTGACAGTAGACAAAAAAAGAATCACTTGATGGGTTCGACCCAATCCGGCTGACACTGCCGTCTGAAACCCTGACGATTCCTCGCAGCATCTGTACACATTGTGCTGTGTCATTATCGCCTCAACCGACATCCCACCGCACGCAGGAGGAGGAGATCCATGCTCCTCCTCCACTTTCCCACTGCGTTGCCGCGGTTTCTTTTCCAGCAACAACACCACTGACAGAAGTGCCGCGGCGAGGGTAAGTTCGGTGCTTGTTGTGGCCGTACAATACCCGGACTTCGGTTTCGCCGGAGTAACACGACTCACCTCCTTGCGTTGCAGGGCGAGGTTAAACGAAAAGAGATGCAGAAGGTGGTTAAGGACGTGGGAAACCACCAACGCTGATGCGGGGTTGTGGTCACAGGCAGAAGTATTGCCTTCACGGAGATGGATGGAATCCGTCATTGTCGTTTCATGCGTCATTGCAGGCACGTGCATCAGAAAAGAAGAGGAGTGCCCATCCGCAAAGAACATACCCAACAGAACGGCATGCTCGTCAACGTTCATGGGTGCATGCAGGAATAGCAAACGTGTCAATAAGACATGCATGGCATTCGCTGCGTAGCACGCAAAGCGGCGAAGCACCAAGAAGCGTGATAGCTGCTGTAGCGTAAACACAAGCTGCTTCTCCAGCGAAGAGAGTTGGTGGTGGGGATTCCCCTCATTGGGCCTTGGAAAGACACGATGCCACCGTGTATCCAGTTCCTCTGCCTCTGCCGAGGTGAGACAGTACAAAATGCCCGAGAGGTCTCGCTGTGCCGCGGTGACGTCCCGCAGAAGCAGGAGTGTCATCATTTTAAGTGTCAGCTGCACACCAAAAGTGCATGCTGCCCGCTGATGCTCTGAGACGTCGGCTGCCCCCTCCTCTGCGATGGATCCTGCAGCGTGGTAGGCGTGCTCCTCACACGCCCCCCCAAACCTCGGCAGGACGGAAAAGGCCACGTGGCGCAGCAGGTACTGCCACAGCCCTTTCTCCGTGAGCGCCGCCAACATAAACTGAAACGATGGTGAATCCGCGTCAAAGTAGAGGAAGCAGTCAAGCTCTTGGCCCGTTTTCTCTTGCACAAAGGAGAGCCGCTTCAACGGCAGCTCCGCCGCACCCAGCTCCCAGGCATCCTCATCCTGCCAGTGGTGTAGATTCCTGCAGCCAAGTAAAATGAAAATCGCGTTGAAAACGGCAATGAGGGCACGCTGCGTTTGAACATCCCCCTCATCCTCATTCTTCCCTTTGCGTTCTGCTTCGCCAGGTTCCCCTCCAACTCCAAATGCCCGCTCCACAACGCGTTTCAAGAGGTCACATGTCGTCACAGTCAACTGCAAAAGGTCAATTTTGCACATGAGCGACGTGCCGCATCTCTCTTCCTCGTTGTCACCTCGCTTGGCCGCACACTCATCCGGTCGCACCCTGCACCCGCTGTTGCCGACGTGGAATACCAAATAAACGATAGTGTAAAGTGCCTCAGCCTGTTCCTCTAACGTAAAGATCTCTGCTTTGGTCGCTGCGTTCACTGTGGTGGGAGCGCACACGCAGCTCAATGTCTCCACGAGACCGCTTTCGGCGGCGGCCGCAAGCAAAGACGGTTGCTGCAACGGCGCCTCCGTGGCGCCGTCAACGGGAGCCATAAAAGACGGCGACGGGACGCACAAAGCAACACCAAAATCTGACTCCCCCCGCACCCTCAGCGATGATTTTTCCCGCCGCGATTCTTGCAAGCTCTCGGGTGCCATGGACGCTACGTGCAGTGCGGGCGACGCCTGCTTCGGCTTCGCAGGCCTGCGCTGCATCGATGCCGGGCGAAGCGCACCGTCCGGTGTCAGGTAGAGGACTGGCTTCAATGGCTTCGGCGGTGTCGCCGCCTCCGCCAGCGCGCCTCCAAGCGGCAACCGCACAGGCGTCTCTCCCGCCTCGGCACGGAGCTGACGCATCAGCGTGGCAAGCGACAGTGCCGGACCTTCTGCAGGCCACTGTTCTTCTGCACATGCCCCAAGACGTTGCTTGCACGTCTCCTGTATGCGCTGGAGGAGTTGAAGCATTTGCGTCTTTCCCGCCATCCCCTCCCCCTTTTTTTTTCGAGGGCAACAAAGCAACACCGCAACAGGGCAAGGGCAAGCAACAAAGGCACGTGCACTCCCGCACAGGCAGATACATAAATACACACACATACACACACATGGAGAGAGAGAGAGAGAGAAAGGCAGCATAACATCGATGAGGCACACATGGAATTTCTCCACCCGCAACGCATCCGGCAATTTACCCCACGACTCCACATCTCTCAAGAAGAAAAATCCCTTGACGTCACCACGAAAAAGGGTTAAACAGCGTGTACAACAAAACAAGCAAACCAAATACAACAACAACGTGCAAGAGCAAAAAATTAAAAATATAAAGGGATCTCACGCAATTGACCTCCAAGACAGAGGAACGGCGTGGCGTAGGGACACGCAGAGCCACTGAAGGGACTCTGCCAGCCCAGCACGAGTTACGTCAAACTGCTCCTACAGCCATGCGCATCCACGCACGCACAGCTGGCCATATCCGTCGTACCACACCTATTGGAGGCGCTGGCAAAATGGACGGAGAAATGCGGGAGCCATATAAAAGGCGCTGCATCATACACTTCATAAAAAGCGCGGTCTAAGCCGCAATCAAAGTCCAAAGACACCTCCCCTCCAAAATAAAATAAAATAAAATAAAATTAAAAAGAAACAAAAGACGAACTAGTGGTAAGCTGCCCGACCTATTCAACACCTTGACTTTAAAGTGAATAATAATGCCCCTCCCCCCATACACAGAGACACCCCTCTTCCTCCGCAATACTTCACACGGTGTCTAATGCTGACGCCGGCTCACCTTGCCACCCTTCCTTCCTTTTTATTGTATTTTTGGGAGAGTCACGAGGTGATAAAACCTTGGCTCCCACAACCAACAAACCCGGGGACCGGCCTTCACACCTACAGTCCCCTGTTTCTTATATCATTACACACGCAATGAAAAATATTCAGACGTTGTCTGCCTTATGGCTGAGATGTCTTCGGGTGCCGATCTGCAGCATGCGCCGTAAATGACAACCTCAAACAACCAATCCGGCGCCTCGGGACGTTGCTGTAGCAGCTGCAGAACAAACCTCGCACAGGTTTCCGCGTCTCCACCCCCGTGTGCCAATCGTTTCCGCAAATCCTGCACTGAAGGCTTTTCTACTTCTGGAGTTCGTGCCATATGCGGTGACTTTATCCACTGCCTCTCTGCGTACGTTTCGCCTGAGTTTGGATACAACAGGAGCACCAGCGGCTCTTCCGTCTCCTGACGCTTCGTCTGAAGCAAGGCACCTGCCACTAGGCTTACTTCCAGCGGAGCAGCACAGTTGCATCCCACGCCTGCCAGCGTCGTCCCACGATTCTTCCGCAATTCATCAAGTGCCCCAACAAACGTGTTGCCGTCTACCAGACGAACAGCGGATGTGGCTGCGTTCCACCACTCGTCCAACTCACGGTCATCCGCAGTGTCGGAAAGGAGCGATTCCACGGGCGCCGCAACAAAACTGAAGCACATAGGCACATCACGCAAGATTTCGTGTTGATGCACAAAAGCGAGGATTCCAAGCGCCTCATCCAGACGCGGGAAGGTCTCCAACAGCAAGAAGTCAACCTTGAGAACCCGTCTCTCACCCACTTTATCCAAAAATGCCTCTAACCGGCGGCCGTGAAACGTGTTAATGACAGCATCATGTATGGAGTAGTCGCCGGAATACTCCTTTCCACCCGGTAACGAGGAACCATACGGACCCAAACTTCCCGCCAACAAAACAACCCGGTCCTGTCTATTGCCTCGGGCAGCGGAGAGCGCTGACGCAAGGATTTCAGTCATACTAGCCCTGCTTTCGCCTGCTGTAGATTCCCCTCTCGTTTCTTTTCGGTTTGATGGGGGCATGAAGTGACGTGCCGCTTCAACTGCACGATTCACCAACTCGGACATGGTCACATTGGAGGCCGCACACCCTTCCTCATACATTTGATAGGTGCACGTTAGGAGCACGTCACATCCGGCCTCAATATAAGCGCGATGGACCCGTTCAACCAAACTCCTGTCTGAAAGAAGCACCGAGGAAGACCACATCGGTCCCACCTTGTCATAGTCCACACCCCAGGCCTCCAGAAGTGTGCCCATCGCCCCGTCCTTGATGAGAACTCCAGACACCCGCCCTGCACGCATCCTTATTGCAAAGTTACCGCGATGCTCTTTTTTATTTGCTTTTCCTTTAGCTGTTCACCGCCTCCACACTATGTTGGTTTTTACGCTGCTAGATATAATCCTGACGACTGTAGAATAGACAAGCCCTTCCCTCCTCCCCCCCAAAGAAAAAAGGCCTCGCATCACATCAACAACCACCACAGCCGGAACAATAATAATAATAATAAAAGAAAACATCATGGTGGACATTTTGTACCACCGCAACCTCAACCCAATGATGGGTAGGCGCCCCACAAACTGCATTAACCTCAAACCATTACGCGCCGCGCATCACTCTCCTTATTTCCATATTATTATTATTATTATTTCTCTGTTATCCACCTTCACTTTTCTTACTCCCTTCATCCCTGCCTGGCGTTGGTGATGTCTCGCGTTTTCCGCTTCATGTAACCTTCAAAGGAAAATCCATCGGTGATCGTGAAAACAACCCCCCAGAGAGATATGTCCTTTTTTTTGTCTGTTTTTGCCTTGTTTTTGATTATTGCCGTTTCGAACCCCCACCCCATCCCACCTACAACCCAACCTTCGCTTTTTAGTCCCCAACATCATCCTGTAAAGTCCCCGTCAAGAAGCAGAAAGGGCAGAGGTCCCGAAAGTTTATGCACGCGCCTATTAAACAGATACGATCATGCATCTCGTTCTTCACACCCGTGAGAGTATCAACAGTAGGCACATGCATGTTACAACATCTTATTTTAAATCCTAGCAAAAGTGACAGGATTATATCTGCCCCGCGTATTTGCATCTTTTGCATTTTAGTTTACCTTAAACTGTATATCGTTCTTCTTCTTCATTGCCCTGTGACATGGTTTAAACTCAACAGGGCAGTGCAGACAAATGGGTAAAACAATATCGACACACGTAGATCAACGCTTCCTGATTGGTGTCAGCGATTGAAAGCAGGTGGCGCTCCCGTCAGCCAATATATATATATATATATATATATATATATACC